ATGCTGTGGGGATTAGAGGGTATGAACTATAAGGAGAGGCTAGTAAAACTTGGGTTGGTTTCTCTAGAGCGGCAGAGGCTGAAGGGAGACTTGATTATGAGAAGCATAGATAGGGTTGATAGTCAGAATCTTTTTTCTGGAGTTGAAATGTCTAAAACTAGGCGGCAGGCATTTAAGGTGAGGGGGAAATGTTCAAAGGAGATGTGAGGGCCAAGTTTTTTACACAAAGTGTGGTAGGACTCTGGAACGTGCCGCCGTGATGGTGGTGGAGGCAGAAATGTTAGGAGCGTTTAAGGGACTTTCTGGTAAACACATGAATGAAGGGATATGGACTATGGGCAGGCAGAAGGGATTAGCTTAATTTAATGTTATGTTTGGCACAACATCATGGGCTGAAGGTCCCGTTCCTGAACTGTACTGTTCTATATTCTATGTAAGATCATGTATTATTTGGCTAGAATGGACTGGGAGCAGATATATTTAGGTAAATCTGTGTCAGAATGGTGGAACATATTCAAGAAGAAAATAGGGAGAGTACAGGGCCAACACATTCTCATAAAGAAAAAGGGTCGGACCATCAATCCCTATGAACCCTGGATGTCCAGGGATATACAGCATTGGATGACAGAAAGAGGGAAGCTTATGGCAGACACCAATGGCCAAAAACAGCAGAAGCCCTAGAATAGTATAGTCTGTGCTGGGGGAAATTTAAAAAGATTAGGAGAGCAAAAAGGGGACAGGAAAGAATAATAGCAGGTAACATAAAGAAAAATACTAAGTTATGTTACAAGTACATTAAGGGCAAAAGGATAACTCGGGAAAGAGTAGGGCCCATGTAGGTGTGTAGAGCTAGAAGGTGTAGGTAGGATTCTGAATGAATACTTTGTGTTGGTGTTTACTAGTGAGTGGGATGACTTGGGTGGAGAAATCAGGGAGAAGAACTGTGATATACTTAAAAGAAATTAGCAGAGACAGAGAGGAGGTTCTGAGTGGTCTGGTAGGCTTAAAAGTAATAAAACTCCAGACCTTGATAAAATGAATCACAGATTATTGAGTGAGACAAGGAAGGAAATAGCAGGGGTGTTGGCAATAATTTTCAACTTCCCTCTGGCCACATAAACCAGGAATCTACAGGCCAATCAGTCTTACCCAGTGGTGGGGAAACATTTGGAAGCAATTCTGAGGGACAGAGTTAATCTGCATGTGGATAGGCAGGGATTAATCAAGAACAGTCAGCATGGTTTTGTTAAGGGACGATCATGACTGACCAACTTGATTGAATTTTTCAAAAAGGTGACCAGGTCTGTAGATGAGATGTATTTAGATGCAAACCATTCAAAATAGTCTAGTGGACTTCAGCATGACTTTTAATGGGGTTCCATTTGGTGAACCTTGGTGAATTTGATTCAAAATTGGCTGAGTGACAGGAAGCAGAGGGTGATGGTTGAGGAGGATTTTTTCTGACTGAAAGTCTGTATCCAGTGAGGCCTCACAAAAGTCAGTGTTGGGGCCCATGCTGTTTGTATTTATATAAATGATTTGGACTTGAATGTAGGAGGTTAGATCGGCAAGGTCGTGGGTGATATGAAAATTGGTGGGGCGGTAAATAGTGAGAAGGAAAATCTTAGATTACACGAGGATATAGATGGGCTGATCAGTGGCAAATGGATAAGTTGGATAAATGTGAGGTGATGCACTTGAGCAGGACAAATAAGGCAAGGGAATACATGTTGAATAGTAAGACCCTGGGAAGCACCAAGGATCAGAGGGACCCTGGTGTACATGTACGCCAGTCCCTTGAGTTATCAGAACAGGTGGATAAAATGGTTAAGGCAGCAAATGGGATAGTTACCTTTATTAGCCAAGAGTTTAAGAGCAGAGAGATTATGCTGGAAGTGTATAAGAAGTTAATTAAGCCTCAGCTGGAGTGTTGTGAGCAGTTCTGGAAATCACATGAGAGGAGGAATGTGTTAGCAATGGAGATAAAGAGAGGAGTTAAGGAGCATATGTCACCTAGGCTGGAGAGTTTAAGTTAGGAAGAGAGATTGATTTCATTTGATTTGATTTGATTTGGTTTGATTTGATTTGATTTGACTTGATTTATTGTTGTCACATGTACCTAAGTGTAGTGAAAAGCTTTGAAGTGCGACCAGTACAGGCAAATCATTACATACAAGGACATACAGATCATAGGGTGTTTGGACAGAGAGAGGCAGACAAGATTACAGCTGCAGAGGAGATGTGCAACAGCAAGATTAACATTAGATCTGAAATTAGAAAAGTCCATTCAGCAGTCTAATAACACCAGGGAAGAAACTCTTCTTGAATCTGTTGGGACGCGTGTTCAAACTTCTGTATCTTCTGCCTGACAGAAGAGGTAGGAAGAGAGTATTACCGGGATGGGAGGTGTCTTTGACGATGTTGGCAGCCTTTTCGTGACAATGAGAAGTGTAGATGGAGCCCATGGATGGGAGGTTGGCTTCTGTGATGGTCTGCGCTGTGTACACAATTTTGTCTAGTGTCTTATGGTCCTGGGCAGAGAGGTTGCCATACCAAGTTCTTATGCACCCAGATAGAATACTTTCTACGGTGCATCTGTAAAAGTTGGTGAGGGTCATTATGGACGTGTCGCATTTCCTAAGCCTCCTCAGGAAGAAGAGGCGCTGTTGTGCCTTCTTTATTGTCGCATCTACATGGGAGGTCCAGGACAGATTGTTGGTTATCATCACTCCTATGAAGTTGATGCACCTAGGACGGACTTGGGATTGTTTTTCTTAGAGTAGGGGAGATTGAGAAGGAACATGATTGTGATGTATAAAGTTATTAAGAGCATAGATAGGGTAGACAGGAAGAAACTTTTCCCCTTGGATGGATCAATGACTAGGGCATAAATTTAAAGGTTTAGAAGGTTTAGAAGAGATGTGAGGAAAAAGGAGAATCTGGAACTTGCTTCCTGTAAGGGTGGTAGAAGCAGAAGCCCTCATAACATTTAAGAAGTATAGTATTTAGATGCGCACTTGTGATGCCAAGGCATACAAGACTATGGGCCCAACTCCTAAAAATAGTATTAGAATAGATAAGTGGTTGTTTTTGACTGGAATGGACTCAATGGGTTGAAGGGCCTTTTCTGTGCTGCAGATCTCTATGACTCTATGGGTTCCTCTGTGCCTTTCCTGTAGGGAGCAGTTTCTATGGCAAGCTAAGGGCTAGAGAGAGAGAGAGAGAGAGTTAATGGGCAATGGACAAATATGAGTGCAGAAGGCGAGAATTTGTGATTAGGAAGCCTCTGGTACAGTCTACAGAACCAGGAAGAGGCATTGAAGAGGCATGCAATTGCTGGTTACTGAGGTAAACCAATTGGCCAAAGAAGCCTCATGCAGCGAGAGAGAGAGAGAGAGAAAAAGAGAGAGAGAGCGAGAGAGACAGAGAGAGAGAAAACATGAGCAGGGCACCAGCCAGGAGCTGAAGCCGTGTTCCAGACAGCAGTGAAGTGCAGAAGCCATGAATAGTACAGACCAAATAGCCACTAATAATGTCTAGAAAACAGGGAGGTGGTAGCTACAGGAGACCTGGGTGAACTATTTGGACAAAACCCCTGAGTTCAAGTGCTTATTGGAGAGAAAAAGATCCCCTTTGTGTCTGGGAACCAAGGTACTGAGTATTACATTGTCATGGGAAGAAAGTGGTGTGAGTAAAAAAAATTTCACACAGCAAGCTGTTATGGTATGGCATGCACTGCATGGCAATGTAATGGAGTCAGGTTTAACTGAGGCATTCACGAGGGCATTAGATGACTATTTGCATGGAAATGGTGTGCAGTGGTATGGGAAAAAGGCAAGAGACTGGCACTTGATGATAGAACTGGAAGAGACATAGTGGGCCAAATGGTCTCCCCTTCTCTACTGTAACAATTCTGTGAAGATAGCCCCTGGAGTTGCCAGGGCTGACTTCATTGCCTAGCTGTTTAGACGTTACGAACAACATTCCCTCTAAGCTGCACACGCAAAGCTACTCTGATGTTCCATGCACAGCAGTTTGACCAAAGGATCTGTTTCTGTGCTGTATAACTCTATGACTCTATAACTGATATTGGGACACTGATCATGGCATTGACCTCTGGCTGCAGAAGTCGCTGCCACAGGGGCCTTGAAGGCCCGCACAGCTGGAATGAAATTTAGAGGGATATTGATTATGAGTTAAACTCTACAACAATATCCTAATGGATCTGCAATATCCATTATTTGCCAATGGAATAAAGAATTCATCTTTTATGATCTTTGTGCAGTGTGTGTTTAAATCATCTGTTATAGTTAATATGAAAATAAGATAGTGTACCTCATCAGCGATCCAACATTACATGACTACCAGAACCAGTAGGAAACCATTCTATCTAGAAGTCTTGTGTAAAGTCTTGTAATCATAGTTCAAAGACAATGGTCGATAAATGGTCATTTTTACTGATGGCGAGGCTCGTTTGAATGCCACCCCTGAACATGATAAATGGTCGTAACAGAATGTAGTTAATACTTTTATCCACTTTGGCTTCTCTAGATGTCAACATATTTGTCATTGTTTAATACACTGTGCTATCTATCTTCTCTCTGTCTTTAGCTGTAATAGAATGACAGCAGTGAACCTGGGGTTGTTTTGAAGGTAGTCAAATGTATTTTGCAGTAATTTGTCATCTTTACACGTTTGTCCAGTTCAAGCCGATTATTTTGGAGCTCGTATTCCAGATTACTTAGTTATAAGGAGGAATTTCTGATAGCGTGTTCTTTCTGAAATTTCTGTTAAGTAGATCATAATTGAAAGAAAAACAAAATACTGAGGATGCTGGAAATCTGAAATAAAAACTGAAAATACTGGAAATGCCCAACAAATATAGCAGCAACTGTTGAGACAAAACTGTTTCAGAGAACACTGAGTATTTCCAACTCTTACTGTTTTGCAGTCTTTACTTGAACCACAGAGCATTTTTCATTGCCTGGGCTTGTACCTACCGTGTGTTGAATGATCTGAGGTGGCTCTGGTGGATGATGCTGGTAGATCTGAATCGCTGGTGCCTGTTGAATGGGCTCCAGCCGTCGGTACCGTGTCCGTGTTCCTCCCCAGGTATGTGGCCGGGAGCACTCATCCAATATGTGCTGCTCCTGAAAAAATAACCTTGAATTATGCACGCTGTTTGAGCCTATTTAGCATGCTTCAGTCCTCCTGCTCTTTTCATCCCTGTTTCTCACCATTTTACAGAGCAGCACTTTCAAACGAGCATTTTAGAAACCTAGAGGTGAACCGACATGAAAATTGTTGTTGCGGATCCAGACACATTCAGTGTACCATGGTTGCTAGGCATTGTTCAAAATCCTAAAGCAAAAACTGGTCTGCCTTGGCCAGCGATCAGGCTTTCAGAATTTCAAACCTTGCAGCGTAGAATGCACCTGTGGGATCCAGGGCTGTCAGTAATGCCGCTCTGAAAGGGATAATTATTGCAAATCTCCTCCTTTAATTCATTTCTTTCTTCAAATTGGAATGCACTCCTGAAAGGGTGGCAGAACAGACTGAATAGCTAACTTTCAAAAGGCATTTAGACATACGTTCAAAAAATTTTCAGAACTATGGGGAAAGAGTTTGTTCTATATCACTTTTTCAGGCAAGATGCTCCCCTGTGTCACATTATTTAATGGGCTTTTCAGAAGTCACTGACACTCTAAAATACGAACCAATTCGGCAAAGAACAAAACTTGAAAGCGAAAACTGGAACTTTTTTGTAAATCAGGCATTCACTTGACCAGCTGAGTCCTGCTTTGTTGATGCAGATCAGTTTCTGATCTATTTGTGATCCTTTCGCATTGTAGAATTGTTAGCTTTACATAGACTGCGTGTAATTCACTGCTAACTGCACCTTAACTTGCAGTGAGGCCCATTTCCCATTTTTCCCTTTCATGGAATATGGACATCGCTGTTAAAACACGAATTTGTTGTCCATCCCTAATTCCCTCAAACTAAGTGGCTCACTGGACCATTTCAGAGGATAGTTATGAATCAATCACATTGCGATTGGCTCTGAAGTGACATATAGACTTGATATGGACACCAGATTTCCTTCCCTAAATTACACCAGTGAACTTAGATAGGTTTTATGACAATTGATGATAATGGCTGTGGTCTCCATTACAAAACCAGCATTCAATTCCAGACTTATGAAATCCCTCCATGTACTAGTCACACCCTATCTCTGTAATTTCCTTAAACCCCACCACTGTCCAAGATAGATGAGCTTTTCTGTGGAGGAGGGGAGGCAGAGTGATACACTTGAATAGCCAGTGTCAACAGGATGAGGCTTGGTCCTGTGCCTTCAAATACACCATTTGGAGTAGGGAGAATCAGTAGTAAAATCCAACTCTCTGTTTTCTGGTCTGAAGCCAATATTTTATCTAAGCTGACACTGCGACTCCTTTTCTAGAAGGGTGAATTTCGTGTGGCAGCCTTTCATATGGTACTTTGGCAAATGTTTTCTTATAATCCATAGATACAACATTCACTCTATTAACATCCAGCGCATTCCCCTCATCAAAAAATTCAACGAGATTGGACCAACTAAGCTGTCCTTTACCAATCTATGCAGGTGCTCTATTATTAAGTTGAATCTCTCCAAGTGCCTGTCCATCTTTTCCAATGATTAGCTGACTGACTTGAAGTTACTAAAAATGTCCATAAAGAGTTTCTTGAATAAAGCAATCATGTTCACCATTGTTCAATGTAATAGCTATTCCCCCACCTAGGGACGATTAGAAGATTAGCAAATCTTTCAGCTAGTTCCATCCCAACTTCTTTTATAACGCTTTGGTTACAAGCCAACTGAGGGCTCTTGTGCTACAGTGGTAATGTTCCTACTTCTGGACCCTATCTACTCCATAGCTGTGTCAGTCATAACATGCCTGAACAGGTCAATTAGAAATATCTACAGGGTGACTGACCAATGGGCTGAATTTTCTGGGTGCAGATCGATGGTTGTGCCTCATTCCTTAATGTGAAATCAGGTATCATGACATCAGCTTGGACAGCCGATATCGTCATCCATTTGCATCCATACAGAATCAAAGTGGGCAGGATACAAAATCATGAGTCTGGCCACCTTACCAAAATAAAGTACTTAGGAGTTCACTGGGTCATAAAAGTGCCAACAGACTCAAATTTTACATGAGCCTGTCACTTTTTCAGAAAGTGCAAATCTGAGGAGTGAGTCTCAGCAGCTGTGGATGAGTAGTAAAGTGACATAAGGGCTGCAGAGAAGCACTTCCTGTGAGAAGATAAAGGCAGCAGCTGGGCCTGCTACTGGAGGTGAATGGAGGACTTGATATGTTTTGGATCCTGAGCCAAACTTCCAAAGTGATACAAAAACAAAGTTGCTGGAAAAGTTCAGCACGTCTGGCAGCAGGAAGGGTCACCGGACCCGAAACGTTAACTCTGTTTTCTCCTTCACAGATGCTGCCAGGCCTGCTGAGCTTTTCCAGCAACTTTGTTTTTGTTCCTGATTTACAGCATCCGCAGTTCTTTCAGTTTTTATTCCAAAGTGATACAGTTCATTTTGGGGAGGAGCTAGAAGGGAGTCACAGTTGAGGAAGCCTGGAGTCACTGAGAATCCTGGAAAGGGAAGGATCAAATGAAACGGTGAATGGCTTCATGAGCTTTGTGCATTCCTGCAGAATCTCTTCAAGTGAGAAGGAGAATGGGAGGAGGAGGAGGAGGAGGAAAAGCTGGGTAGTTACCTAGTAACAGCAGTGCCCTGCTGACCAATTGGATATGGCACCTCGTGATGTTGATGGGCTGCAGAGACCACCATCACTGATGTCTCCTAATAAGATTTTGTCCTCTGTTTATCACACAAACTACCCACAACAGTCAGAATGCCAGTGTCATCATTGACTATGTCTCCCCTGGGTGACATGTGTGTGTGATGCTAGCACAGACTTAGGATTCTGGCTCTCAATTTACCAGTAGCCCTGAGATTTGGTGTCTTAGGCTCAGGCTGTCAAGGAGCAAACAAAGATCTATACAATATCTCAAAGGTATCAGTGCATCACAGCATTATGATTCCAGATGTACTGGGTGACTTCATTAATTACACCACCAATGTGGTCCTTCAGCCTAATAGAACCAGAGGATTTGGTGACAAAGTGGGATTCCCAAAGTCATTAACCATACACATGTGGTCACTGAGGCTACCTTGGCCCAGCCAGGGGGATTCATGAATTAGAAGGGGTTTCATCTCCTGAATGTACAGATTGTATGTGGCCATTACCAGATTGTGCAAGCTTGTGCACATACCTTTGGAATAGCCCCAACACCTACATCCTCAAGAACGTCCAGGTGCCACAGCTATTTGCACCAATTGTAGTTGGAGGGGAAGACATTTGACTACAAGCTCCTGAACCTGGGAAAGAACCTACTCAAAATGACAGAGCCATGCCTGGATTAAGCTAATAGCATATTGCAGTATGTGCAGGCTCGGCTCTGCCTGATTGTTATAGTCCACAGTGGCCTGCAAAACCTTGCGCTGCAGAGGGGTGGTAAGGCCCTAGCAGAAGAGAATCTTGTTGACTGAAGAATCAGAAGAGGATCAGGAGGATTCAGACCAGCCTGCACTACCATCTAAGGATTTACATGAATACTAAGGTATTCTCCTGAGGATGGCATGGGCGGCACGGTGGCTCAGTGGTTAGCACTGCTGCGTCACAGCACCAGGGACCTGGGTTCGATTCCACCCTTGGGTGACTGTCTGTGTGGAGTTTGCACATTCTCCCCGTGTCTGCATGGCTTTCCTCTGGGTGCTTTGGTTTCCTCCCACAGTCCAAAGATGTTCAGGCTAGGTGGATTGGCCATGCTAAATTGCCCGTAGTGTTCAGGGATGTGTAGATTAGGTGGGTTATACGTGGATGGCTCTGGGTGGAATGCTCTGAGAGTCGGTGTGGACTTGTTGGGCTGCAGGGCCTGTTTCTATGATGAAAAGGCCTTTTGATGCCAACAGCAATGTCCTGCATTCTCCTGGTCTACCACCTCATATGTTAGACCAAAGACAGCTGTTTGGTGCATGAGTAAAGGAGCCTCTGAGGATCCATGCTGCAGCCCATGCATTTAATAAAGATCCTCAAGACAAATTTCTCACATGGGAAACCAATGTACAAAGAATACACAAACAAAGAACAAAGAACAGTACAGCACTGGAACAGGCCATATGGCCCTCCAAGACCTTTCTCTCCTCAGAAGAAGTACCTTAATATTCATGTAGGTCCTTAGATGGTAGGGGAGACACATTTTGCCATTCCATTCTAAAACTGTCTTCACTTACAGGATCCGTATCCCTCCATTCCCTTCCTATTCACGTATTCATCAAGGTGCTTCTTGAACGCTGCTATCGGGTCTGCTTCCACCACTCCTCTGGCAGCATGTTCCAGGCACTCACCACCCTTTGTGTGAAAAATTTGCCTCACATGTGTCTTTTGTGAGTTCTTAATTATTTTACATGTGCTGAATCGTGGGGATTCACCCCTGCTGCTGGCTACACTGGTGCTTATGTTATACCTTCATGCCCTTTTACCTGGTATGGTCTTTGCAGCTGTCCTCTGGTCATCCTGAGGCTGTGGAGGTCTGGCATTATGAACGATTCCTGCACTGTGGCAGGTGCCTCCTTTGTGGCTGCAACCTAAGGGAGATCACATACTGCTTTGATGTCATGGCAGTCACTCTCCCTCTGGATTTCAGCTTTCTTGTTCCAGCCAGTCTGGAGCCCAGTGGCCCAGAATTTTATGCAACAGTAGCAAAGAACAGCATCTCGATCTTGGCTCATTGGCAAACCTGTAGGAGTGTCCATCCATTCAATTCTATGCAAGGGTCCTAATGTTTTGACTCCTGCTGAAGCCTGAATTGTGTGAAGCTTTGCCTTTGCATGCAAAGCTCTTGGGGTGTGTTTTCTCCTGACCCTTACCCTCAGTTTTTGGAGCAAGCCTTTTCTTCGCTTCAGTGCATTGTGTAGCGCATCACCCTGTCCATCCAAACTGCCTGCACAGAAAACAAACAGACTGTTTGACAGTTGCTTCAGTTCTCTTTCTCAAAGCACAAAAAAACTATACTTATGTTCTTCAAATGCGAAGGAAGTCTCAAAGTATTAGACTGCAGGAAAAGAAAACAAGTTAACACTGAGTAGGAGGAAGAAATGGACAGACCATATAAAACAGAACAGAATCCATTTGGAAGGATCTTTGAAAGTAGGATGAGAGTTAGCAAAGATTTAAAGAAAAGATTCAGAGGGCTGGAGTATAGTCACGGAAAAAGCAATCATCATAGGTGGAGGGTAGAGGAAGTGGTTTGTGTACAACATAGAACATGGGACATAGAACTGTACAGCACAGGAATGGGCCTTTTGGCTCATGACATTGTGCCAAACCTGACACCAAAGTAAACTAATCCCTTCTGCCTGCTCTTGGTCCATATCCCTCCATTCCTTGCATGTTCATGTGCTTATATAAAAGGCCCTCAAACACCCTTTTATCGTGTCTGCCTCTACCACCACCCCTGGCAGCGTGTTCCAGACTCTGTGTAAAAAAAATTTGTCCCTTGTGTCTCCTTTGAACTTTCCCCCTTTTCACTTTAAATTCACGCCCCCTAGTTTTAGACATTTAAAATCTGGGAAAAAGTTTCCATCAACCCTATCTATGCATCTCCTAATTTTGTAGACTTCTATCATGTCTCCCCACAGCCTCTGCTGCTCCAGAGAATATAACCTGAGTTTTTCTAGCCTCTCCTTATAGCTCATATCCTCTCATCCAGGCAACATCCTGGTAAGTCCCTTCTGCACCCTTTTGAAAGCCTCCACATCTGTCTTGCAATGTGGTAACCAGAATTGAATGCAATACTCTAAGTGTGGCCAAACCAAAGTCTAATAAAACTCTAACATGATATTGTGACTTTTACACTCAAATCCCTGACCAATAAAGGCAAGCATGCCATACGCCTTCTTTATCACCCTAACTACTTGAGTGGTCACTTTCAGGAAGCTATGGACATGAACCCCAAGATCCCTCTGTACATCAATGCTTTTCAGGGTCCTGCCACTTACTGTATACTTCTCCTTAACATTTGAACTCCTAAAGTGCAGCACCTCACATTTACCCAGATTAAACTCCATTTGCCATTTCCCCACCCATATCTGCAATTGATTTATATCCCACTATATCCTTTGACAACCTTCTACATTATCCACAGCTCCTCCGGTCTTTGTACCGTCTGCAAATTTACTAACCCACCCATCAACACTTTCATCCAAGTCATTCATATATATCACAAACAGCAGAGGTCCCAGTACGGATCCCTACAGAACACCACTAATCACAGACCTCCAGCCTGAAAAACACCCTTCTACCACTATCCTCTGCCTTCTATGGGCAAGTCAATTCTGAATCCACCTGGGCAAGTCACTGTGGATCCCATGCATCTTAATCTTCTAGATGAGCATACCATGAAGGACCTTGTTGAAAGCCTTACTAAAATCCATGTAGACAACATCCACTGCTCTACCCTCATCGATCACCTTCATCACCTCGTCAAAAAGTTTGATCAGGTTGGTAAGACATGACCTGCTGTGCACAAAGCCGTGCTGACTGCCCCGAATTAGGCCATGCTTTTCCAAATGCGCACAAATCCTATCCCTAAGAATTCTCTCAAATAGCCTCTCGACCACTGATGTAAGTCTATATTTCCTGTTTCCCTTCTCGAACTACTTGTCAGTCCTCCGGGACCTCTCCAATGGAGAGAGTTCAGAAAAGATTTATCAGAATGTTGCTGGGAATGGATGGTTTGAGTTATTAAAAGAGGTTGAATAGGCTGGAACATTTTTCACTCGATCATAGGAGGTTGTGGGGTTACCTTATAGAGATTTTTTAAATAATGAGGGACATAGATAAGGTCATTGGCAAAGGTCTTTTCCATGGGTTGAGAAGTTCAAAACCAGCGGGGGACACTTTTAAGGTGAGAGGAGAAAGTTCTAAAAAGGACATGAGGGACAACTTTTTTACAGAGTTTCATGTGTGGAATGAACTGCCAGAGGAAGTGGTGAGTGCAGGTGCAGTTACAACATTTAAAAGACATTCAGATAAGTACATGAATAGGAAAGATTTGGAGGGATATGAGCCAAACACAGGCAAGTGGGAAGTGTTTAGTTTGGGAACATGGTTGTTGTGGTCTGTTTTCATGCTGTATAACTCAATGACTCTGAGTCTGCGCACACACAAGTGTCATCTGTGTACTGCAGCTCAATGACAGATGTCGGGGTGGTCTTGGTTCTGGCCTGGAGTCATCGAAGGTTGAACAGTTTCCCACTTGTCTTGTTGATTAACTTGACTCAGTGGGGAGTTTGATTAAGATAGGGTGGAGTGTTGCAGCGAGGAAGAGTGTTGATGCGATGATGCTGCCCTGCTTGACTCTAGTTTATATTGGATGTGGTTGTGGATTGATTGGTTTTAGACAAATTGCTGGTTGGAATTTCTTCTCTTTAGTCATAGAGTCACACAGCATGGAAACAGACCCTTCAGATGAACCAGTTTTTGTCTTCCTGACTTCCTTCTTCAGAATGCCCCTACACTCTTTATATTCTTCAAGAGATTCAGTTGATCCCAGAACTTCAATATCTTTATTCATCCATTATGCCCTAATCTTACCAGCCTTGCTTTCCACGCTAATAGGAACATAATGCCTCTGAACTCTCGTTAGCATACTTTTACAGGCCTCCCACTTGTCAGTTGTCCCTTTGCCTGCAAATAGTCTACTCCAATCAAGTTTTGAAAGTTCTTGTTTCATAACCTTAAATTTGCTTTACTCCAATTCAGAACTTTAACTTTTGTCCTTTTCCATAACTATTTTAAAACTAATAGTATTATGATCATTAGTCCCAAAGCATTCCCTTATGAACACTTCAGTCATTCGCCTTGCCTTATTTCCCAAGAGAAGGTCAGGTTTTGCTCCTTGATAAAGAAAATTTTCTTGAACACATTTAACAAATTCTACACCATACAAACCTTTAACACCATGGCAGTCCCAGTCAATGTTTGGAAAATTAAAAACCCCTACCAGTACACCATTATTATTCTTACATATATTTGAGATCTCTCTACATATTTGCTTCTCAATTTCCCTGTGACTGATGGGGGATTGGGGGTGGGCCTATAGCAGAATCCCAACAAGGTGATCATCCCTTTCTCATTTCTAACTTCAAACCATATATTTTCACCAAATGATCCCTCAGAAATATTTTCTCTAATTATAGTAGTAATGTTTTCTTTAATCAAAAACGCCACTCACCTTCCTATCTTGCCTCTCTTTCGATCCTTCCTATGATATCTAAAACCTGGAACATTGAGCTGCCAGTCCTGTCTATCCCTGTAATAGCTACAATGTCCCAGTCCCATGTTCCCATACATGCCCTGCGTTCACCAGCTTTACCTGTAAGACTTCTTGTATTGCAACAAATTTAGTTTAATTCTTCAGAGTTACTTCGTTCTGACTTGCTCTTGTCTGTCTTTTCTAATTAACTTGCTCTTTTCTGATTCAGAACCATCCAACTGTTACTTAGGAAGCCCCCAACCCACTCTCTAAAAGTTTACAGGGTCACGAAATAGAACTAGCAAATCTCCCCATCAAGATACTGGTCCCTTTCCAGTTCATCCTTTTGAACAGGTCTTTTTGTCCCAGAAGAGATCCAATGATCCGAGAAACTGAATCCCTGCTCATTGCACCACCTCTTCAGCCATTGATTTATCTCCCCCAATTCTTTCTTTCCCAATTTCTTCCCTCTTTATAATGTGGCAGTGGAAATAAACCAGAGATTACTACTTTTGATGTTCTGTTTTTTAACCTTCTACCTCACCTCTTATATTCACTCTACAAAGCCTTAACCCTTTCCATAGCTATGTCATTCCTACCAATGTGTACAATAACTTCCTGCTTCTCACACTCACCTTTGACAGGATGTGTTTTCACTGGCTGTCTAAAACCCAAATGCTTTCGAAGGAGGTCGCACCACTTTATGTGCCAGATGCAGAGATCCTGGGCAAACTTCTGCCATGACTTGAAGTCAATAGGAAAACTCCTAAGTGAACTCCTAACTCAGAGTATCCTTGTAGCACTTTTCTTGACTGCCATGAGAGCAATGCCCCAGACTCAAGCACTCCATAGAAGATTCACTTTGGTAATCGAATGTCAGGCATTCCAGCTATATGACGAGACCTACTCAGATGGTTTCACCATGAAGTGGATTGGCATGCTCACTCAAATGTCCTACTATCTAATCCTCAGAAATTTTCCAAGGCAGCTCAAGTGCAAATGGCTAAAGCTTTGCTGCCACATTGTCCAAGTCTTAGTTTCAGTTTTCAGACTTTCAAATTAGTAGGTAGACTCATTGCTTTGTGTCCTCAGACTGATTTTCAAAGTCTGTGGAAGGCTACATTTGCTTTAGCCATTCTTGCCTGTGTCTCTTTGTTAATACAGCATGAGAGAAGTGAACTTATGACAGGTTCTGGGCATAGACTGAAAACCTGGCCTCAAGATAGGGCTCTCCTGGAGCAATCTGGTGCATAACGTCAGTTTTATTTGTGCTGATTAAGACTGAAGTAGTCACATGCATTGGAGAACAAGTCCGTGCTTCATTGTATATCCAACTCTGAACCAGCAGCTACTGCACAGCTGGCCATCAGCAAATAGGATTCCAATTTCACAGTTTCCCATGACCTAGGAGAACCTGGGCTTTGCCTGGAATTATCCCAAATTAGCAGCTTCCTAGCCAGGTGATACCTGATTTAGATGTCAGCATCACAATTGTGGAAGCCATCGGTGAGCATAACAGAGAAAAACATGCTGGAGAGGGCTGGTGCTTCCACACCGCCTGTTCAACCCCATTAGCAACCAGGAATGCAATAATAAGGTATACAGGGATCCTGGGCTTTATAATTAGAGATATGGAGCACAGAAGCAATGAAATTATGATAAACTTTTGTAAAACCCTGCTTTGT